ATTCATTAAATTTGGGTTTGGGGTGCCCCAAGGTCACTCAGGAGGGCAAGTGGGGCTGGAGAAGCTGGACTGAGAGCAGGACTGGATTTTAGGAGGCCTTATCATTTGAAGGGGCAAGTTTGGGAGGCATGTGGGGTCCCCTGTTGATTGGGTTATCAGCTATACTTTTTTGGGGGGGGATTCAACAAAAGCTTCAATATAGTACATCTTTTTTTCTTTTTCTTCTTTTTTTCCCCATCTTAGGGCTTGAACTCAGGGCCTGGGCACTGTCCCTGAGCTTCTTTTGTTTAAGGTTAGTGCTGTACCACTTGAGCCACAGCAACATTCCCAGCTTTTTGTTTTTGCAGTACTGAGGAATCAAATCCAGCACTTCATTTTCATGCATGCTAGGCAAGCATTCTACCACTAAGCCACATTCCTAGCCCCTGAATACAGGGCATCTTGAAACCATTTTTTTTTGGGGGGGGGTCAGTTGTGGGGCTTGAACTCTGGGCCTGGGTGCTGCTCCTGAGCGCTTCAGCTCAAGTCCAGCATTCAACCACTTCAGCTACCAGTTTTCTGGTCGTTAATTGGAGATGAGTCTCATGGACTTTCCTGCTTGGGCTGGCTTTGAACCTCAACTCTCTGATCTCAGCCTCCTGAGTAGCTAGGATTATAGGCTGAGCCACCATTGCCTGGCTTGAAACCTATTTTTGTTTTCAAGAAGCTGGATATGCTGGTGGCTCATGCCAGTGAGCATTGAGGTTGAAAGCCAGCCCAAGCAGGAAAGTCTGTGAGACTCTTACCTTGAATTAGCCACCAAAAATCTGTGAGCTGTGTGTCAAGCAGAGCAAAAGCCTTGAATGAAAAGGCTCAGCCCCACAACTGGCACAGAAAAGGAAGAAGGGAGGGAAGGAGGAAGAGAGCAAAGGAAGAAAGAAGGGTAAACTTGTTTGTATAATTTTCCTGAAACCAGACCCACAAAGACTCAAATAGGTCCCCATATCCATCATGAACTTAACAGTGAAACATGGTTCACTCTGCTGGGGACCTTTATTTTCTACTGTCTACAGAGCCTTATCCTAAGCACCTTGGGCTTGGGGCAAGAAGGGCAGGCTGTGATCCTCTGCTTAAATATTTCAGGAAGGCAGCATAGGGTGCATTTGCAGGAGTCAGGAAAAAGCTACTTCTCTCCTTCAGGAACCCCATTGTAGGGGCCTAAGGGAGTTCTTCCTCTGTAGGTCAAGCTGGCCTAAAACTCCCAGTCTTTGAGCCTCTGCCCCTGGGGTGCCAGGATTATGGGTGCTGCAGCACACCTGATTTAAAACAGCCACATGAGTGTGCATTTACACTGCTTCCTTCCACATTTTCCACCTATTTTTCCACTCAAGCTTCCCGAGCGCTGCTGAGCTGGTGCAGTTTGATGTCTTCTTCATGGAAGGGAGGAAACTGAGGATCCAGGATACAAAGTATCCCAGGTCCTCCCCCACCCGCTCTGCTCTCATTTCCTATTTCCCACAGCCCCTGCTGGTCCAGTGTTCATTTATTCTTGGCAGTAGAGGGTCCGCTGGGTAGAGCTTGCTCTGGGCTACTGTTGTAGCTGATCTCAAATCAAACTAGACCTTCAGGGCAGGAGGGCTAGGTTGGACTCTTTGGTTGGCCTGTAATGTTCCTTTTTGCGTTTGCATTTTTTGTTTGTCTCTGTTGCTTAGGCTGGGCTCAAATTCTTGGATTCATATGAACCTCTGGCCACAAGCTCCCGAATGCTGGGGACTATAGGTGTGTGCCAAGGTGCCCAACTTGTGTTTCATTTTTAATCTTGAAACGTCTGTTGAGCCGGGCGCTGGTGGCTCACACCTGTAATCCTAGCTACTCAGGGGGCTGAGATCTGAGGATCAAGGTTCAAAGCCAGCCCGGGCAGGAAAGACCGTGAGACTCCTATCTCCAATAAACCACCAGAAAACCGGAAGTGGTGCTGTGGCTCAAGTGGTAGAG